TTATTTTCAAGGTCAAATAGAGTTCAAGGATAAAAAATAAAAACTGCAAGACAGCCAAATGTTTTCCAAAATCGAAATAATAATTTCAAAACTCAAAACCCCTGAAGTTAAAATGTATGCTCTCAGTGTGAAATAGATGTATCCGAATATTTAACTCCAGTGTAGGCTCTGTCAAAGTGTTTCTATATTTACTCAGAATAAAAAAAAAGTGTTTTACCTTTTTGGTTTTAAAGCTGAATAGCTTGATTAAAACGTCATAAAGACTTTTAACAACAAGACAAATGTGAACTGTAAATAAGTTGACGGCAGCTTTAATAGTAGTTTGACATGAACGCTTCCAATCTCCCTTTGCTAGTGCAGAGCTTCAGGCTGATCCCTTTGCAAAGATTTGTGCTTGATGAGTTATGTCTGAATGATCTATCCATATATGGCTTTTGATAGACAAGCAAGAGGCCTTTTGTTTCAGGATCTTTACTCTGCTGCCCCCTTCTGACCTTTTAAGGTGCATCACGCACTGATGTTTACTCCAAGAATGAAGTTTTTTCCAAATGTTATGCTGTCTATGCTGATTTTTGTTCTTTGTATTTTTTAGGTGTTTGTATGTAACAGTGCCAAATACAGTGACCTGGGCCAACCCTTTGGCTACCTGAAAGCCAGCACTGCTCTCAACTGTGTCAACTTGTTTGTGATGCCCTACAATTACCCTGTGCTCCTGCCACTTTTAGGTAATAAATAAATATTAGATTACCTTAACAATATTTATTCTCAGTTTTTTCTTTTTTTTGTTAAATGTTTGTGAAACATTTAGACAAAAATGATAAAAGTACAAAACAGCTATTTGAGGTTAACTTAAGGGAATAAATATCCATTAAGAGAATAAAAGGAGGACCAAAATACCTGAGTTTAACTGACCTTAGTGAAGTGAGAGCTAAGCATTTATTAGAAAATGAAAAATAATTATTACATGTAAAAGTGGTAATAGAGAGCTAGCTGTAAGCTCAGTGGAAAAATAATAGTGTAACTCACGCACCACAATTTTGGCCCCAGACTAATCTGTAGTTTTTCTTCTTTTGCAGACGACTTAATCAAAGTGCACAAGTTCAAGCCGACCATCAAATGGCGACAGTCTTTCGAGAACTACTTGAAGACCATGCCTCCATACTATATTGGGGTTGGTGAAAATTGCAACACTTATAACGGTTATTTATTCGATAAACATTTGAATAATCTGAATTATTCTTTTGTCTTTTTTCACAGTCTTTAAGGAAAGCCCTAAGAATCATGGGAGCACCGAACCTGCTGGCAGACAACATTGAGTACGGTCTGAGCTATAGTGTGGTCTCCTATCTGAAGAAGCTCAGTCAGCAGGTGACTGATTTCTCTTAAGATTTAAAATATCTATGTATTTATTGAGGTCATAGAACTGACTTTGTTTGTTTCTTCTCTATTAATCCCTGCATTTTGTTTGTTCAGACAAAAATAGAGTATGATCGACTGATCGCCTCGATTGGTAAAAAACCACCTGCAGAACTGGGCATCAAGGTGCGCTGGCGGGGAGGGGGTATTTCTCTAGCCCAGCGCAGGAATTTCATCCAGCAATTGCAGAGTTTGACAGGAGAGACTCCGTCTCTGCCCATGGAGCTCAACTCTAAAGAATTCCAAGGTTTTCATTTGGCTCTGCTCAACAAGGTGAGGTCATAATCTCACAGGTCTTTCAGTAGAAATACTTATGGTGGGCGACAATAACACAGTAATCACGTCATCAGTTACTATAACGTGACAAAATATCTTTCTCCATTAAAATAGTTTTGAATTATTATCAAGCAAATTTCAATACCTTTCTGTCTTGTCGTCACCAGAGCCTGAAACCTCAGAGCTTTAGGAATCCCTACGACATCCCACGCAGCCACCTGCTGGACCAGCTGAGCCGAATGAGGAGGAATCTTCTCAACACCAGCGTCTGTACACTCAGAGGGCAAGACTCAGGTCAGCAACCTGTGAAAATTACATCATATTTACATAGGACTAAATAACTGTTTGAGGATGTTTGAAGTCTGTAGGTTTCACCTACCATGTCAATTAGATTTCTGTGTCTTGCCTTTAGACCAGCTTCATAGTGTGCCAATCGCCCAGATGGGCAACTACCAGGACTTCCTCAAAGCTGCTCCTCAGCCTCTTCGAGACGCAGACCCTGAACAACCTAAACGTCTCCACACGTTCGGCAACCCCTTCAAGCTGGACAAGAAGGTTAGCCCACTCATGCACTTCAGCCTGCTCTAACGTAAACTTCTCTGATGAGACTGTACAGTCTTTAAATGGTCTTCACTGTTTTTTGTTTTTTAGGGAATGATGATTGATGAGGCAGACGAGTTTGTCACGGGGCCTCAGAACAAGGGCAAGAGACCAGGAGAAAACAACAACATGCAGGGTGGAGGCCCCAAGAGACGTCGCTGTATGTCCCCGCTGCTGCGTCTAGGCAGGGCTTATACACCTCCAGTGACGCCACCTGCCAGCCCTCGATCTGCAGGAGGTGAGATTTGAATCTGAGGCTGGAGAAAAATAAGATCAGGAACACACAAACTTGGTAAAATAAAGCAAAAAAAGAAAAAACAGCAATAACATGCATATTTAGTTTTAATAAATAACTGTTGCTTATTTGTAGTTTGTAAAGTAATTAATCAATTAAGCTAAATAACTTCATTATTATTAATTAATTTTATGTGAAAGTATGCTGTATATTCTGTGTAGGTAAAACTGCATCAGTTTTTGAGGTCACTTTAAGAGAGATACTGTACGTTCTGTTTTAACTTAAATTTATAAAACCTTACAAAATCTGATATACTGACACTGAAAGAGTTTGTTTTAAATGTATTTACCTTTCATTTTCCTGCCAAACTTAATCGTAATCACCATGAACTCCATCAGGACTCTCAACCGACTGTCCTTAATCTGACCTTGCAGACATGGAGATGACTGATGGAGCTCCAGAACCCGACTTGATTATCAACCACCTGAACCAGAACCACTACAACTCAGACAGTGGCTCAGACTCAGAGGTGGATCTTCCCTCAGGACCACCCAACCACCGCGAGTACCACACAGCTATGGGCCCCCAGGACCTGAGGCACAGGGACGATGAGGAGAACGGTCAACTCCATGATGGCGAACATCTGCTGGGAAGCGAGGAAGGAATGGAAGTACAGCTTCTGGATGAACAGCCCCCACGATACATGTCACCAACAGCTCTGAAGAAGCACATTCACACTGAGACGACAAAGGTGAACAACGAGCTGAGGGTCCTCATTACCAAGGAGATCAGGAAACCTGGCAGACGTGAGTAGAATACACATGGTATTGGAAGGAGATTCACTTTCAGTTTGTGATGAATCATCAGTTCCTTCCTTCTGCTGCAGACTACGAGAAGATCTTCCTCCTCCTGAAGCAGATACAGGGAACGTTGGACACTCGGCTCATCTTTCTCCAGAACATCATCAAAGAGGCAGCCAGGTAACGATGTCAATGTAGTTCTGTTGGAAACATCTGTTCATCATCATCTTATAGTGTTTATTGTGTTTTATACAGTTAATTTCTGACTCTTTTGAGAGAATTTCGCGACACATTCCTTCCTAGGACGTTAGTCATTGCTGACGGACTTTGCTGGTATCTTGATTTCTTTGAAGCTTTTTTAGACCTGTTCTAGATTTATGTGTGCTAAGTATATTAACGCCAGTTTAGATGTTGCTAAATGTAACCCAGTTTTAGCTAAAGANTATATATATATATATATAAATAAAAGATAGTTCATAGCTACATACACTGTTAAACTATTAGAGCACGTTGGTTGTGAAATAGGTAAATATGCCTCAACAATAGCTTCAGTAGCCAAAAGACAATAATGTTGTTAAATAAAAATGTATATAATATCGTTCCAAATGAAGGTATTTCACTGGGACAAAAAAGATGATTTTCATCACCACTGACAGGCCATTGAAACAATTTTTATGGAAAAGGGGAAGTGTGTGTAAATTAACATGTTATTGTACAACATCAACATCATTTAACAATAAAGTTGCTTCACCTTTAACACTGCCTTTACTTTTACTTTTTCTAAGGTTCAAAAAGCGCGTCCTCATCGAGCAGCTGGAAAACTTCCTGGAAGAGATTCACAACAGATCTAACAACCTGAACCACATGGACCCACTCTGAGACTGAGTCAGTTCTCAGAGTCAGTGAACTGATAAGAAACGCCACCATCCACCACACCCTTCTCACCCCCTCCACCCCTCCCTGCTGTGTTCAGCGGCCACCACAGAGGTCAGACAAGGCAGCACCCGGCATTCAGCACTGTCACCTCCACACTTCTTCAGGATTGTTTCTGGACATGGTTTGGACCAGAAGATTGGAGGATGTTTCTTAGGTACTAAAAACAAACATCAGCAAAATTTCGCCCATGTTTTTTTTTTTTTTACAAATTTAAATCTTATGACAAGAGGTCACCATTTTGAACTCCATGTTACAATCATGAGTTCTCCAGTGTCCAGAAACAGGCAGATTGAAGATTGGGGGAAATCTAGTAAATTATTAACCATAGGTGTGAATGTGTGTGAGAATGCATGTTGTCCTGTCCTTGGTTGGTCTTTTCGTGCGACTCGGGGATTAACGGGAGCCAGTCGTGTTCAGTGATACACTTTAATTTCTGTCTTCTTCCCCTTCGTCCATTTGTGGATTCACATTCTTGTTTTTGGTGAAAGAATGAAAGTTTAACATTCTGTTTGAAATGTATCTTTGTACACTCCACTAAGTGAAGCACTCCAGCACTATGCTCTTAAAACAGTAAAAATAGAAATTACCCAACAGATAAATTACTAAGTATTAAACAGAAAAAATGAACGCAAGGGAAAAATCACAGAATGACTCAGTGAAATGGTGAAATAATAATAAAAAATAGCAACATTATTGGTTAAAATGTTGAAAACACAGGGACAAAAATAGCTCAGGAACTGTTACCAATGCATCACAATCAGCAATAACATCACAGCTGCATTGATTCCTTCCCTACCATCAGTTTTATTCTTATTTTAATGAAACGTCTTGTATGCAACACCACTCTAGTGCTGATAACTATAGGTTTGGACGCCAGTTTGCTGGTTGCTGCCAAAATAACGCCCCCTCCCCTCCACCATGAATCTCAAATCAACATCTTGCCACTTAACCCTAAATGCACTTGTGTAAATTTGAGAATGCTTATTTAATGTAATTTTAAACAGAAAAAAAACTACCTTTACTTCCTCAGATACGGTGGTCAGGCATTTTCTCAAATATACACAAATTATTTGACTGGATGCGTTGGAAGTCGGGAGTTGATTTCTGATTCAGGGGCACCCATTCTCTTCCTTTTTCTCCCTCCCCAGACAGGGACCAAAATCTGCCATATTTACTTGTCTGTTTGTTTGTGAAGAGGCCGCTACCAAAAGAGTATTTTGAATACACTGTAAAGATGTAAATAAGCCTAGAGTACTATTTAAAGAGAATGTTGAGCGTCAAAATGGCCTTTTTGTAAGTATTTCCATTAATAAAGTTTCTATTTTACACTGTGAAGGGCCATGTAAATAAAGTGTTCTGTAAACACGTGACTCTGCGTCATTTTAGTCGACATTTTTTTCGGTAATTAGTTTAGCTAAATGATGGCGTATTAGGCAAAAAAGACCAAATAACAAGGTGTAAAAATGTGTATTAAAAACGTTATTTACAAATATGTACAAAAGTAATGTCCCTGTTTTTTCTGTGACTGGATCCTCCTGTTGGTCCACAAATAAATACAAAGAGTAGAAGTAAAGGGTTTGAGGTTTACAGTAATTGATCAGCAGGATTCAACACTCGACCCATAAATAGGATGCATCCTAGAAATGGAAGAAAAACATTTTTTAGTTACGTCTTTGCAAAGATAAATTATTGGAAATGTTATTTGACCAAAATGAAAACTAAAATGGTAAATGTACAGCTTGTCTACAAACAGTTAACAAACATCTATAGATTACATTCCATTATAAAGGTGGTGAATGGAGCCCTAAAATAAGTTATAGTATTTTTTTAATTAAGCCACAAAATAAACTACTACGAAAGTGGCCAGAAAAGATAAATAACCAAAAACACAAAAGGATTGCCCCAAATAGTTAACAAAAAGATATGTAGCCAGAAAATATATTTTTATAAGTAGATTACTGATAATAGTGAATAATCCAAGCCAGTGTAAAAGCAATTCAAAAATACTGAAACCCTACAGGAATGCAGCCTGCTGCAGAATGATTTTAACAGTCATACCTGTGTTGATGTGTCGAAGCAGGAATAAAAAAGGCCGATCTGCCTTAAAAACAGGAGCTCTGGAACGTTTCAGTAGAACCATAGCTGCAGAGAAATGTCTTTTTTAGGAACCAAATGGGAAGAAATATATATATATTAGGAATTTAGACATTTTACAGAACCATCCTTACCTGTGGCAGCAGCTGCCTTCGTCCCATCTTCAGTCACTTCTATTCTCACCTCATGGAAGGCGTCAGTCACATAAAGACCTTCCACTGCTGCACAGAAAAACAGCACACTCAGCTGCTGTAACTACACCTCAGACTTTGTGCTACTGGGTCCAAGCTCATCTGACTTTAAGATCTCTGATAAAATCAATATTTTCTATGAGTTTTTTTCAGTAGAGTGGATACACTGACCTGATATTCCGCTGAAGTCGGCAGCTGCTGGATTAAAAGCATCACTGAGGCCCATGGCAGGAAGCACTGACCTCAGGTTAAACTTGTTCTGCATCCTGAACCTGGAAGTACCAATAAACTCATCTTCATCTAATCTGCGTCCATATTCATACGCTTTTCTTTATTAGACAGCAAAAGAAACCTCACCTTGGCAGGAAGACGTCCATTTTAATCCTGCGTAGGCCGCTGTCCCATAATGCCAGCTGTCGGGTGTTGAGCTGGGACTCGATAGAGGACAGTGACGTCTTCCTGTCACTGGGAAGAACCACCTGCAGACTCAGGGAGTGGCCCAGGTACGGCAGCTCCAACACTGTGTAACGCTGGTCGGACAATGTTCTAAACTGACCTGTTGACAGGTAAGAATGTAGATGTTGTACTGTGTCTGATGACTTTTTAGTCAATGTTTTATTTTGTCATTGAAATGTAAATATTGTTATTAAATATTGTAATTTATTACAATATATTATTAAAATTTGTCCTTGTCTGTTCAATTATAGATGGACGGATGGTTGTGGTCTCTTACCAAACCTCACTTCTGTAGCCTGGTACATCATGGGGACTTTGATGATGCTTCCATCGGGGAGGGTGAAGGGCAGGTTCTGAGTGTTGGAGAACAAGAAGTGTTTCTGCCACACTCCTCTGAAGACCACAGTGTTGACCAGCGCCACCTGCTGCCTCTGGCTCCACCACAGAGCTTCTGCCTGAGTCTCCCCTGACCCTGACAGCTCTCCACTGCTGCTGCCTGACTGGACGGTCAAGGCCTCATCTGAGAGAAAAGCCAGGAAAGGTTAGGGTGAGGAACTGAATTAATTAGGTTCAAGTACATTTTGCTTCAAGTTTTTGAGTTATAACTTATTTATTTCTGCCAACAATATTTTTGTTGCATATCTTAATGGACAACGGTCCAAAGGAGCCAAGTGGAAACGTCTTGTCAAGGCTGCGAGTGCATAGCAAAGTAAAGGTACGTCTACAGAGCAAATGTTTGAAATACATAAACAAAGTGTCATGCATGCATTTTTGTCAGGTGACAGGCAGACAGACGGGCTAGAGGAGATTATGTGAAGTTATGACTGCAAATGCAAAAAACCCATAAACTTTCATTTTCACATAGAGTCAGACGGAAAAGAGTATTTTAAGAGAAAATCTGTTGTATCAAAATTCCAGTGAAAAATCTCATCCATGTGACTTGCTATATATTTTTGAAAAAAAAAACCCTCATGTATCTTCTGGTGTTTCTTAGAGCTGCCTCTGTTACCTTGGCTGTGGCCTGAGTGTGCGTCTCTGTGTCTCTGCATGTGGACAGTTTGGCTGAAGTTGGCTTGGACCACGCTGGTGTTGGCCCAGGCTGCAGCGTGGTGTGTGAATTCACTGAGGAGCCGGACTCCACTCTGGACCAATAAAGTGCAGGTCTGCTGCAGAAACAGGTTCTGGCTGCTGTTACTAATATCACCCTGGGAGTGAGACAGGAAGTCCTGGACCTGGGCTTCTGTAAGGTCCAAAAACACAGAACAGTTTGGTATTAGGAAGAGGAGAGAGTTCGTAGTTAACAGACTTCACTTCATTTTACGCAGCTGCGCAAAGTGGTGGAAACGCTGCTCATGTTTTTTTAGTATATCTTAACAATTCCCCAGCCAGTATTTGATTTCTGACTGTTTATTTTAGAACAGCTGTCAGATGATTAATTTAATTAATTTTAATCTTTAGCTATATTTTCCCCATGGTTTCAATATACTTCCATTGTTTACTTTGAGCTATTTTAGCTACAACAATTCCTTATATAAATTTCCATGTGATATAAATTATTTGATCAAATTTAGTTTTTAATTTTTTTATTCCATTGGACTAACTCTTAATTATTTCTTAACTAATCTTTTATTTAGACAGCTAAAGTTAAATCATCAGAATTTATCTAATGTGTTAAATATATTGAAATATAGTAGAAATAATATATAAAAATTAGACTAAATGTATCATGGTAGTCCTAGTTATAGCAAATTTGCAAAAGCTCAACTAAATATCCTGAGATTTTCTATCTCCAGATATTCTGTTGGTACAGTATAACACAATGACACAATGGTCCCAGTTAAACCTGGTTAAAAGTTGAAAACCTGATCTGTTATGATGCCTTTCTGCCTGAACCATAACAAATGTGTGTTATACATCAAGTACTTATTGACTTCCTGACTGGAGGTCAACCTCAGAAACACTGTTTAATGAGATGGCTGTTGATGTGGAGGCAGGTATTAGCAGATCCTAACACCACTGAGCTCTGTGGAACCTACCACCAGAGCAGCAGCAGCCCCTGGGGTCACGACCTCCTGGCCGTCAGCCTGACAGCAGGAGAAACAGCTTACAGTTACTCAACGACAACACCATCACACCTCACCGTTCACATTATATCCCAGAGTCTGTTCCAGCTGAGCCAGTGTGTTCCCTCTGGCACCAAACTGCAGCAGCCCCAGAGACAAGGAGACGCTGAGTGGAGACACTATCAGGTTGGAGACGTTCTCTGACTCTGTGAGCGTTTGGTAGAGGCTGAGGGAGAAACTGCTGTGGAGCCTTCCCATGTTGTCCTGGAGGCTGCTGCTGCTGCTGCTGCTGCTGCTGCTGCTGCTGCTGCTGCTCTCCAACGACAACAACAGGCAGAGGAAAAGTGAAACCACAGAGAGGTGATACATTTCCTCAGAGAAGCAGGAGGGAGAATGTCCTCAGGTGAAACAGGTGGTCTGAAAGATGAGATCCTGCAAAAAAAAACAAAAAACACTTTGTTGGTGCTGTCAACAAATGACCCTTGATTGATGTGTTCATTTGAATGTTGCATGATGGTGAATAAAAAGCAAACTAGGGCTTTTTTGTACGTTAGTGGAGCATTTTAGATTGGATTCAGATTTGAATTTTTTTTTTTTTAAATGGGGTGAGAACAAAAAAAATCTACTTATAATCGTCCTACTACTACTTATGTTCCTACATGTTCCTTAAATGTTCTATGTTTTTTTTTTGTTTTTAATTTTTAAAATGCTTGCTTTAAAATAGATTTAGGCTAGCTTTAAGCTATTCGTTGGCCTATCTTGGCTCTTATTTTGCCGTTAATATTCTTTAATCCAAACATTTAATTACTCATGGAGTTGTTTTTTATCAATTTTTTCATAACCTTTAAAGTACATGTAGCCTACAAGTGGAGCATCTATTAAAATAAACTCCACATAACATTTTCTCCTCAAACTGTCAGAAACCAACTGTAATTATATTATTCTGCCTTTTGTTATTTTTTTTAATATAGGAAATGTCTCAGGTTTGGACAACACAACATTTTCCCTGAAATGTCTGTGTTTAATAAAGGAAAAGGTCAACTTGTGTAAACCATGTAATTAATCAACTGTGAAATCAGTCGTTGGCAGCAGTGCAGCTGGTTTTGTTCCTTGCAGTTTATCGAAAGTTCATTCACAAAGTTTTACATTTTTAAAATGTACTGCATTTGATTTTGTTGCTCAGGCCTTACCTGCAGACAGGTGCTGGTTCCTCGACTGTCCTCCGGCTGACACTGACCATTCAGCCTCTGCAGGGGCAGAAGTGTCCTTTAATGTCCTCCGCTGTCCTCAACTGTCCCCGACTCTCAGATTCTGTCCTAGCCCTCTGGTTCTCGGTAACTGAGACGGCCTGTTGTCATGAGACCGTGTTTAAAGGAGAACTTCTGGGCTGGTCTGAGTCGGAGATGTCCGTACCACTGCTCCAGCCTCCTCAGGGCTGTGAGGAACCAGGCAGAGGGAGGCAGGTCACCCAGCAGCAAATCCTCAGCCACACTGTAAACAGTAAGTAAACTCTCACAGTGACTGACTGGATGTTACACACACATATACATAATCAGAGAAATTATAAATAAAGGGTTTAATTGATGGAAACACTTTAATGGTTCACTGTGAAAATATCTGATCTATGATATAGCTATGAAAAGCCTGGTTGTGGCAGCTTCATTCTCTGGTCAGGATTAAGAGGAGGTTAGGAATAAGGAACAAATATCAGTTTATTTTTTAACATAAAATACACTTAAGAAATGTTGTAAACTAGGGATAACTAGTGAAAAATCTGCCATTTTGTTTCACTTAATTTTAACTGTACTGCTAGTTTTAACATGGGCGTTTAGCACCACTAGTCTAGGAATTTCAAAATAAAGTTTCGTGAGACAAGTTAAATGTGTTTGTGGAGTAATGCCTTCGTTGTGGTGAATGGTACTGTTCAAAGATGCAACAGTTTACTCTTCTCTAACAACAGTTATGTTATGCATGCCCCCTGCAGGGCTGGGTGTAGACAGTTTTTTTTGGCTGAGATTCCAAAAAATGTAGTTATAGTTACAGTACATGTACTGCAGTCCAGTCACAGCTGGTATACACTGTTAAAATTAACCTAACTGGAAGAAGTTAAAGGGCAGTTTCAGATATTTCTTAAATATTTTGCCCAGATTAACAAATTGTTTTTATTTTTCTCTCACATATAAAAATAACGGACAATGTTTGATAACCTTTCATGATGCGTTTCTTTTTTTTTAATTCATCTTCAATCTGAGGTCACAGGATGCAGAGGGGACTGGGATGAAAGGCCTGATTGGAGAGCTGGGGCCAGTCTCCACCAGTCTTACTGGGATTAAGTGGCTGCAGTGTGGAGGAAGGTGGAGGCATCGCAGAGTCACACTGACAACCATCAACATGTGGAGATGGAAGGATAAATTCTGTTGGAGTAATAACGGTAATCTGCCACAAACACACACTAACATGCAGGTGCACCACTGTTTTTTTTGGGTTTTTTTTTTTTTTTTTAATGTATCAAGGTGAATTTCTTTTACAAACTCATACCTATTATTTTCTTGAATAATTGTAACTTTATATTTTTTAATTAAATATAAACTTGTCATGTTACTCTACAACTATGATTTTATCTTTATTTTTTGTTAACTTTGGTTAACATACAGGTATCAGATAATAGATAAACACTAACTTTATATATTAAATATATTTTTGTCAATATAGTTCACTATCTTATATAAGCTAGTAATAAGATAATAAAAAGCATTTGAGCATTTAGGGAAAGCATTTTTCCCTAATTTTAAGCTCTATTTACCATTTAGTTTTTGTTCCTACAGAGAAATATTAAAAGATATTCAGTTTCAGTTCAGGATAGTAGAGTCAAATAACACAAAACTCATATGATAAATTAGTTACCAATTTATCTAAGATAACCAAAGCATAGCTCTCAATAAACAGACTATAACTAAAGCTTAGCACAAAAATAGATTTAAAGTTTAGCTTAAAAAATTGACAGAAAAAAAAAAATCCATGATTATATATTTATATATTCATAAGTGATAAGTCACAGGGTTATGAAATGTTTGACACACAGATGCACAGAGCTCACTTTACTCCACTAACTGATGCTCCAGCGTCTCCTCCTGTGCCCTACTTCTCTCCAGGCTTCTGGGCCTTTGGGAGGGATTAGAGAGAAGGCTGCCGTGTGGCGGGGGCCGGGCCAGGCCGCAACAACGCCGGTGTCGCCAGAGTGATCTGCCAGGTACGCCACGGTGGATTAGAGCTACTAGGGCTGGCACTGGAAGAGGGGAGACGTGAGGGGGAATGTTTCATCCCAGGCTTTACCTCACTAGTACATGAGCACTGGTGTGAAGAATTATGGGAATAAAAGTGGCGGTTGTTGGTTTGGTGAAAGTGAAAAAGAATATGATCTGAGACTCTGGAGTCAGTCAAGGTGTTGGTATAATGTGGATAAGAGAATTAGAGAATTCTATTTTTTGTGTTAATTGCTGTAGTTATGTTGTGCAACTTGTGCTGTATACCTTCCAATAAAAGAAAATTGTTGGAGCATTGTTTGCATTTATTTCAAGATATTGAGCCAAAAATGAATGGTGTTTCTCATTGCCTTTTAGGGCATGCACTGTCAAAGTCAAGGGTATATAGTTTAATTAAATTAAATTTAAGCTTTAAGTTTTAAGTTTAATTAAATTAAATTTAAGCTTTAAGTTGTTTTTTTTTTAAGTTTTAAGTCCAGTTGGTGTCACTCACTCTTTAGTCAATACCTGTAAAAGGCTTAAATCCATTTCTTTTCATACCTTTAGTAGTGACGTTGAACCGGCTCCACACTGAAGGACCACTGTGCTTGGCTGGTACATCTGCATTACTTTGGCCATGATCTAAACCCAAGACGCACATTTATATTAAAAAAAAAAAAAAAAAACTTGAGGGAAGTTAGGAAAAAGCTCAATCGCACTCAGAGTAAAACAGACCGGTTTAAAGATGGCTTTGTGGATAATTCACTGCGTAATGGTTGAAGAGTTCAATTACGCAACTGGACGTGTAATTTTCAGTTCAGTTAGAACTGAACTCCACCGGTCTGCTGCTACACCCGAAAAGATTTATTTTACACACTGACTGAAGCAATACGTGCGGTCAGAATTAGTTTGAATGTGCAAAGCGTGCGGCTCAAACAGGCTACTGTTTAGCACGCTAAACGGCTGCCCCACTCGGCGGGTCAGCAGCGCGCAGATGGTTTAAGACAAACCGTCCGCACGTTCTGTGGAATGCTGCTTCTTCACGTGACGCGTAAACTGCTAAAGTTAAGAGTACCAGAGAAGGAAAAACGTACCGTCGTAACAATAGCAAACGCTTTTGTTTTAACTGCCTTCACGCAGCGCCATTGTGCAATCTTTTTAAAGCGCAGGCTGCACCTCGTTATCCAATCACAAGCGTTCTGCACGGCAGCTACAATCCACCAGGTGCAGGCTCATTAGTTTGTTAATGAGTAGATACACAGATCACTACACGTTATTGTCAGTGCAGCTAAAGGAAAATTCCAGCAACTAGATATGAGAGAGTGGGTGTGCCATATTAATGGAAAATCATGCAGTATAAGCATTAAGGAACATTGGGGAGTTGTTTCATAATAATAATAACTTATCATTTAATGCTATAATATAGTGGACTTTATATATATTCTATATTCTATATGCTCTATATTCAAACGGCTACTGAATATAGCATAGGTACATAAGACACAAATACGTTCAGCCTTTTATTTTGATAATGTCAATAATAAAAATGTCATGCTAATACATGTTGTCATCACCTTTAATGTCTTCAATATTTTCATAATATCATACCATTTTAAAACGCCTTGACCAAGCTATGTCGTGTCACTCTACCTACCATGGCTATATATATATATATATATATATATATATCCGCCTCTGGAACAACTTGTCCGAAAGCGTAAAATTGGCAACATCAGTGACCATGTTCGAAAACAGGTTCAAAACCTTTCTTTTTAATATTGCTTTTGATTAAACCCCAATCTCCAGCCATAACCCCACATATGTTATATATTTTATGTTTTATATATTTGTTATAATTACTTCCTCCCCTCATAGACCCCATTGATGCTGTACTGGATCCAGGACCCTCTCCATACTCCTGCCTCACCTTTGCTGCTGTTATCTGTATATTGAAACAGGAACTGTAACTCATGTTTCTAGATTGTTTTGCTACTGCGTGTCTTGGGTGAGGATCCCCTCCTCTGTCTTTCACCCTGAGGTTTCTTCCTTCCTTTTTTTCTTGGGAGTTGTTCCTCAGCCAATGCGAGGGTCTACAAGAGCAGGGGATGTTTACCACTGTTTTTTCATCTTTCTTTTTATATTTAACTGTTTGAACCACTGTAAAGCACACTGTGTTTGCTTTGTGCATGAAATGCACTCTATAAATAAAAACTGAATTGAATATTAAACAGTTTATATGTCGCCTTTTAACGACAACACTTATTAATCAGTTTGGTTATTTTTTAACACAAATGGGCACGTGCTTGGCAATAAACCTCCATCTTGAAGAAGCTTTGGTCATTTTTATTTTTTATATTTTTATATATTGAAGAGGAGGAGTTCCTGGAGGAGGAAGAGGCCCTTGGAGCAGGAAACCAGGTTGATGAAGATGACAAATCAGATCTGAAGAAGAAGAAAAAGCTTTTTTGTCATTGTACAGGATACAATGAAATTTCATGAATAGAGTGGTTTTCTTATAAACCTTCATTCAAACCTTACTAACCTTCCACAACAGCTGAACAGATTTCTCCTAACTTCTCGTCACTCACTTTTAGGCCCTGTGAACTCAGAAATGTTAGTCCTAGTGTAGTACATAAAAATACAGTAAGCGGTGTAATAAAAATAACTTCACCCTAAGCTACAGAAGTTCCCAGTGTGCAGTTTCTATATATGCTCACAAAGTATTTGAATTTTAGCTTTCAGCAGATAAAAGTCTGCAAAGCCCCTTTGAGGAAAACGTATTTATTAGCATTAAGTATTTTGTCCATTCACTACGTAGCTGTCTTCTTGTAAAGAGACTTCTACTACTGCAGATCCATCTGTCATTCCACACCCCACAGATTTAGCTGCCTTTGGCTTGATTTTCATTCCTGTGGTTGTTTAACTGTTATCCTTTATTTATCTGTTGACTGTGAGTTCAAATAAGAACTCTGTCCTGTATTCATTTAGCTGCTTCCACTTACATTGCAATAACAGTAACAGGATGAAAATACTGTATAATTAATGACTGTAAACTGAGATGGAAGGGAACAAATAATATGACTTGATTTACTGGAATACTCACAATTCCTTTTATACCAACAGCACCAGGAGTTTCAGGATCTCCCTGTTGAACACATTCACAGGTAACTTTCCCACTGGTGCATATGTGTGTGTTTGTGATGAAAGAGCCTAATAAAACAACTGCAAACAAACGGGTGAGATATTATTATTATTATTATTATTATTGAATTGTTTATCTTTACATGTAGTGATTGGTCCATTAAATGTGTAACTCATTTCTTTATATGACCTGATATTTACAAAGCTTGATTGTACACACAGAAAAACAATATTAAACAAAAATACATCAGAACAATGAAAACAGGAGTCTAATTTTGTCACTGTAGTTTTTCTGTACAGCACTAGGGGGCAGAGTAAAGCTGTTAAATGTCTCAGCTTTGACTCCTGTCAAAGCTGACAGGTTTACTAAAGTTTATCATATGTAGAATTCCTGCTCTTCTTCTACTTCCTCTTCTGCTGCTCTGTAATCTGCGTCTGTGATTGGTGAGCTAATGATGCTACAACTGTCCAACTGCTTCATGTTGGTGCTTTGGGTGTAAGATCTATGCAAAGTCGAGGAGGTGCTGATGGGAATTCGACCAAGTGTTGCTGCCCTGCAGGTGTTTTCTAGAACAGTGGGACTAAGGGGAGGTCCATTGTCCTCTGGTGGTGCAGATGATGGTCTGCTGGTCTGTGTGGTGTTGGGCTGGACATATGCAGACACCACCGATAGGTCCACGGTGCTGCCTATGTTTACTTTGTCCCCAGTGTCTACGTCCGTCTCCTCGGCTCCGATCAGAGAGTCCACATTTATCCTGAACTGCGGCAGGAGGGTGGAGCTTCTATGATGGGAGCGCCTCCTGTGGTGGTGGGGGCTGGAACAAGGTACTGGAGAGGAGCAGGTGGAGTGGGAGCTGACTGATCCAAGGTTGGGCAGAGAGAAGAGGGAGCTGGACCTGTGTCCTGCCCACTGGGACTTTGTAGGGTCTGGGTGGTACCTGTCAGACCACTGCTCCTGGTCAGACCACTGCTCCGGCTCCTCATGCTCCTCATGCTCCTCATGCTCCTCACAGGCCAATGGGAGGGAGCTGTAGGAGGTCTGGTGGTGGACCCATGGTTGAGACGGCACTCGGTGAAGATACCTGCGGTTCCTTTGACAGTTGGCAGGGCGGGTGAAGGTGGATGGAGCTGAGGCCGACTCTGTGAAGGCTGATGATAGGTGTCTGTGTCTGAGGCGCGCACCAGAGCTTTGCACCTAAACAGAGCAAAGAAAGTCATGTGTATTAGAGTTCAGTTCAAAATGATACATGGTCTTTCAAAGTGTCAACTGGTTAAGGTTCGTCAATAAGCTGAATTTAGAAAGAACAATTAAAAGAAAAAAAAGGATTCTTAAATAATAAATTCATACATAATACATTTTTAACCAATTGAACCAATTGAAAATAGTTAGCAAACATGGTAAATGTGTTTATTGTTCAAGCCTTATCTCTCTCTGCTTAGAAGAACTAAAACTTAAAATCCTCATTCTAGTAGTTGTAAAAAAAGAGCCTTAAATAACATTAGTGGGAAGATTGAAAAAAAGATTTACTTCAGATAAAAGGTTAAAGATTTGGCAGTAAATGCTTAAATTGGCCAAAATATACTGATATATACCTATACCTATATACATCAAACTGCTTAATTTCGAAATAAGCAAAATGAAATATTAGCAGCATTTATGTTTACTAACATTATCTAAAGCATTAATCCAAGTAAAATAATAAGCAGATTAGTTAGTTAAAACAAACCAACATAAGAAAATATAGATAAAAAAAGTTTAGGCAAGATGAAAAACTATTAGTTTGCGACACATTAGCCAAAATAGATTTGAAATACACTAAAAATAAATGAAATATTGACAAAATGAATTAACTATTCAGAATTCTTTCACAACCATTAAAATGTAAACAAAGTTTGCTCTTTCATCTCAGTGACTCAAGTACAAAGGATTAAACTGAAATTGCTTCGTTGCTGGGCAGAAACAGCAAAGACGGATCTGAAATACAGTCGTAGATGTTTAAAGAAATGTCTTCTCTCTGTAGCTCGACCTCACACCCTGATAATCAAACCAAACAGTCGATTTGTTTTCACTTAGTAGGTGGTGGCTGACATGTGGAGCCAGGGTGGAGCTGCCAAGAAAAAGTCTGAACGGTGACTTATTGCACTCATATCCCACACACGCGTGTAGGAAACACAGGGCTCTGCTTATGTCCACGGGGTTCTCACACGTGTGCAGCTACATGTATAAAAACAACAACACAAGCACTTTTAATGTTGTCTTAAAATGTTCTCTCTCTCTTCTGCTAACTTTAGCTCCTTTATTGTACGTTTTTAAATCTCTGACCTTTAACTTCTTCCTTCATGCATGCTAATATATAGCTATGTTAGACCAATATTTAGCTATATATCGGCATGGCTAACACTAAGCTACTTCTAGATCTGAATACCTTCTAGCTAGTATTACTTAATTAAAAAAATAATTTTAGCAAGTGTGGAATATTGTAATATGACATTCATTGTATTGTAAAAATAAACTTTACTTTAGCTTCTACTAACCTGAAGCTACATTTTTTGTAGTTCTCTATTGGCTAATTGTTAGCAGACCACCAGATGCATATTTGTACATATATTTACATTTTGAGGAACTTTTTACTAAGACACAATTTTTTTCTTTATTCTGACCATCTTTGTTCTTCTTTGTACATACCTCGGAGTCAACTGCAATTTTCGTGACTTTGACTTATTCCTGGCTATTTTGGGCTCTCTTTTAGAAACTTTCCATTAAAACAACAGACTCCCAATGATATAAATATACACATGCTTCTGATACACAGATGTGTATTTAAATATCATGTGTTGGAAGGTGAGTGCCTCTCTCAAATTAGAGTCATGTGTGTCCTTTCACATGGTTCCACTCCTACTAGGAGCAGAAATGAGAGCTCTGGGACTCAGTTCAGGATGAAGCAGTTGAACGGTTTCCAGGTCAGGGAGGAGTGAGCAAATAACAGAACTGAGATGTACCTTGGCACTCCTGAGCCTTCCTCTACGGAGGTGCTGTCAGGTTTGGCTCAATTATTTCTTCCGCCAAACAGTTACTGTGGCTAAGCACTTCCACCTGTAGCTTGTTTAATGCTAAACCTGCACAAGGTAACTTCTCTGGTAGTGTCACTTTCGTCCTCCTTAGATTTTCTTTTTAAGATCAGTTTCCATTTTTCTGATGAAGTTGAAGTCAGACATGCTAGTTTCTAGTCATCTTTTACACCAGTGGCCCACAACGTCAGACTTTGAAAATCCCTGTTCTACACAGTGTTTCCGTAGTCTCACACAAAGGCGCTTCACAAAGCTCTGTCCAGTTTTTATAACACCCTCTATAGGTAATACACTTAACACCATGTTTCTACTATTCCAGCACAAGGATCAACACCAAAAAGTTAAAAAAAGAAAACATGCTAAATTAAATGTGCGGATAATCCACTTTGGTGACCCCTAGAGGCAGCAGCTTTTGAAGCTGTTATTCTAAGGTTAAGACAGCAGTTTGATAAAAACTTCTGCTTGGTTTGCAAAATGGAACTGACAGCAGCTCTGTTATCTTAATGCACGCCGTCTGAGGTCAGAGGAGATACGAAGGGAAGAGGAACATCAATCTCCCCATGTGCTCCTCAGGCTACAGAACGTTAGATGGAGGTAACCTGGGGAACCCAGGAGTTTTAAAAAACACCATCCACTTTATGAATCACAGCAGCAGCTGCAGAAGTCATTAGTGTCTGAAATGGCCTTGTGTATATCACACCTTCATTTATGGAGCACAGTTATCCAAAGGCACAGACTGTGTAAATCGTAATCACTTCACTTTCACTTCCAGCTGTAAAGGACAGACGGGCTGGGAGTCTGGGAGAAGGAGCAGAGATCTCCTGTTCTGACACTAACATGAAAATGCTGTTGTTTGTAAAGCTGAACATCTGCAGTGTTCGTTTTCATTTCACTGTTCTCTCAGGTTTTTTTTTTTTTTAACGTCGGCGGACGTGGACAAACTGATGGTTTCTGCAGGTTTCTCCTCTCACCGTCCGCACCGCTACATCAACAACACAAGCAAAGGCATTTACTCTCCACAGAGCAGCCTCCAGACAATATGTCCAAGTGCTCGCATGTGGACAAAGAGTTTTGTTTTTAACGGTTTCCATATGTTTTCAGATTCGACATATATCAAGGAAATTAAAAGCTTTAAAGTGTCTGGACAGCCAGAGATGGAGCTGTGATTTATGGCACACTGAGGTGAGTGGTTTTTACATTATTAAATTCTATGATCGGGATTTTATTAATAACATGTACAGCAGCCATGTATTAGGAAAGTTAAATAATATTATCATGTTTAGTTATCATTAATCCAATTATTGATCCATCTGTGCTTACATCCATCCATCTGACCAGTCTCCCAGTAATAGAAGTCACCTGTACCAGTGCTGCCTGGCAGCAACTGGCTCCAAATAACAATGGCTGTAGGCATCACTCAAAAAAATGCCAACTTCTCTAATAAAATACCCAGCCAATAAATAATAGATTCTTCTCATGGGTCACTTTGGTGTCATTCACCAGACTGACTCCCTTTTTTTACTACATTCTCCAGGGCCGTCTGAAATGAATGTCATATTTGATGTGATATGAAAAGCTCCAAAAGCCCTGCAGGCCTCACTGGCTCTAAATCATTATTTTATAGACACATGTCAAAGCTGGCTGTCTTGACTGACTCTGGTAATAACTTGTGTTTTAGGTTCACTGGTGATGACAGGCATGTTCACTGGCCTTGGGTCTAACGCTTGCTCCACCTCCAGAAGTCCTGGCTCCAAAAGGTCCGACTCAGCAGCTTTTTAAGGCAAAACTTTGGCTTCAGAAAATGCAGCGAGTTGGTGGAGGCCTTGATCTACTCCAGAGAGGCCGCCATCAGTTCATCGAATGGGTAGAAAGGCTGATTGTTACATCTTTTTTAGTTGATGGAAAGCTCTGTTTCTGTATCAGTGTTTTTGACCTTTCACCTAGTCACAGTCACTACCACAGTGATTCAATATAATATGTCTGTAGGCGTCAACTGCAGCATGTGTGTTTTTGGACTTTGATAAAAATCTGGAACCCGTATGAGTCGTCCACAGATTCCATATGTGTCTGATATAAAGTTTCTAAACGCGGGTAAAGAACAACAGGAAACCATATGTGGCCAACACGTCCACACGGTGGACAGGTCATTCAAACTGATAAACACTGTAACCACTAGGCCACTGTGTAGCTGTCAATAGAACTGTAGACCATGAGTTTATAGAAGGTGAAGTTTCTACTGAAATAATATTTTATAATAATATAGAGTGAGTTTAATGAAGAGCTCGTTCACAGCTGCAGCTTGTCAATCAAATGAATCACTGATTGGATGTATGATTAGTGAGAGGACAACAAGCACGTAGCGTGTGGTCATTATGTGCTTTGGTTTAGAAAGAGAAGGCAGCAGTTAACACGAGGACCATGGCGTGATTAAAAAACGAACAGGGGTTAAATGTAAATTATTATTTTTTTAGTCTTTAGTTTATTTACCCTAAGTCAAATGGGAGGGAATACTTTGGAATAATATATAAATAATCCTAACATGACAAAACAAAACATGTTTTCTTCTCTCAGCTAATAAGGCATGACAGCTTGTGTCCAGTCATGTAAAAGGGTCCCATGTTTGAAACGGGTAGCAACAGCAGGGGGTGCTGGGTAATGAGGCTGTTGACGTGGTAAACCTTAGTTAAACCAGGTCAACCACAGACCTGACCTCAGTAGGACAAAAACAACACCACTGAACATTCATCTACAGCTACAAGGTTTTGCAACTACAGCCTGGAAATAAGTTCAGCAGTCCGACTGCTGAATATTTCTGAGCATTATCTTAATACGGAGTAGACACGCAACCTTATCTCTGTGATTCGACTGCAGGAGGAAACCAGAGAACCTGAAGAGAACATGGGGGGGGGGGTCCACGTAGGACAGGATCAAACCGGTGGTGAGTAGTGGCCACTACAGCCTAAATGTTTGTGTAGGGGAACCTAATTTTATAACAAGCTGAGGCGAGAATGTATCAACATAGGTGTACTGCTCCACAAACCAGAGGGCGCTCAGTGCTGCAACGCCCTACTTTAAATGGGCCTTTACAGATGTCAAAAATAATGCAGTAGTTTATACAAGTATTTACTGTATACAAAGTATAATATTTACACTAAAATTCAAATTATGGACCAATGAAAATGTTTTTTTGTTTGTTTTTGTGTTGAGAACTAAGGACTTACGGCCAGGTGGCAGCTCGTTTGTCCTGGCAGACTGGATTATTGTTGTCACTGTTCCAGTCCCAGTAATGGACTGCAGCCTAATCCCATGACTTATCTTACACTACCTGGACACATTTACTTTGTGAAACAGATCCCTTCCAAACAGGCACCACTGTGTGTCTGAGTGTGTGTTTACTTACAAACACACACACGCACACACACACACACACTAGTGGCAGCCCTCGGTGTTATGTAAGCTCCATGCAGCAGTTGAGAGTCAATAAAGTACGTCCATGAAAACTTTAAGCGCTCTGAATACTGGACGGAGCCTTCAGTGATGAGCTTGTTATATTTTAGGGGTTTCAAAGAAAATTATGATTGTAATAATAAATAATGAAATCCAATAATGTAAGCCACGAGCCACAAGAGGCTGAGAGCTGTGTTGTTAATTTACTTTTAAAATTTATGTTTGAGAAGATCGGCTCCAAAAAGCCAGATGGCACACACAAAAAAAAAAAGAAATCACCACTTCTGAATTGAAATCAGCTGAGGAGTTGTTGGAACATTACAATACTCTACTGCAGGAGTAAAACGCTCAGTCTGCTCAGTGAAAGTCACAGGGTCAAAACAGAGCAGGGGGCCCAGGGCAAAATGTGGTTGAAAATGACAAATTGCCACTAAAATTCTCTTGGCGGGGTTTTCTTTAATGCCCCTGTAAAACATGCAGTTTTACTTTCTAAAAATCTAGGCTTTCGTAGCTATAATACGCAGCTATAATAATAATATTTGCTGTGTATTACTAGTATTGTCAATTTACAATGTAAACAATCAGGAGTATTACAAAACTACAAATGAGATAATGCAGGTTATTAAGTAAAACAATAAGCAGAAATGTTATAAACCAAATAGTGAGGAAGCATTGGAAGAAGAACTAAAAGTTGACCAATAAAGTAAATACAAATAAAATTTAAAAAATGTTTACCAATGCACCATCTATAAACATTAAAAGGTTGGTTAAGGTTCACTTAAGGGAAGGAATAAAACCAAAAATTGTTTTGAAAATAAAAAACAAGAGATGTAACCAAAAAATATTTTATGAAGCGGTGAAATAGCAGCATGATGTCAACTAAGAAGAAGCTAAAAGTTGGTAAGATCAGTTGAGAAGTTGGTCAACTTTAAAAAACTATCTCAAGTTAGGTAAAACAATCCAAAATTAATAAATAACACTTTTTTAGACAAAATGCTTCTAAATCCTCCTGATCTAAATTTCTTATCCAGGAAAGACAAACCTTAAAAAACTGCTTTCTGTCCTCTGTTTGACCAAAACATTTCCAGAAACAAAAAAGGTTCTCACCTGCAGAAGGATCTTATTTCCATCGTAGTCCTCTGTCTGCCAGCGGACGTCGCTGATGGGGCTGCAGGGATGAGGTAAGAGAGGCACCAGAACTCCTACGTCCCGCACCCTCACCTCCATCACAGCCGACTCCAACACCAGCGGGTTCTGAGCCCGTGGGAGCCTCTTGAAGGAGATCTGGATCTCCATGTCTGGGTTGGAGTAGACTACAAAGAAACAGAAGTCCTCCTTCTTCTGCGACACCCTCCTCTGCAGCAGCAGCTTGTAGAGCCGCACCATGTCCACGTAGTTTTCATATCGACAATACAAAGTAAACCGCACTATTTCCTTCCCATAATGCACCTGCCGCACGGCCCACAGCGGCGTCCCTGGAGACAGGGTGAAAAAGTCTTGACTGCATGGAGTCAGTGGAAGCATTCGCCGACCATTGCTGACTTTCTCAGTGTGGTGGTATCTCCACGGCGGCCTCTGCAGTGCCTGGTGCAGCATCAGTATCTGCTCCTCACCACCGTATCCCTCCTGGAGGAACAGGATGACCGCCAAAGATGGCTGACATGACAGTGGAAGGTTTCCATTTTGGTGGTTCTTGGGCCAAGGCCGATGGGAAACAGACGCTCGTTCTGAGACTCTGAAAAGCTGAAGCTCAGGGTGAACCCAGGCTAAAACGGCATCAACAGCATGCTGCAGGAACCTGCCCTGGCCGGGGTCAGCTATGAGGTGGACACTGACCAGGAAGGGATCTTGGAGTTCACCCATGGACAGCTCACCTCCACATACCACACCATCAAGATTTGAGAGGTCGGGGAGGAAAGGAGAAGAGAAATGGAGCGGGGAAAACAAAGGAAAAAGACAAGACATAATATTTATAATCAGGCTGTCAGAACCTTTGAACCCAGAACCAGACAAGAAAATATTACACATTCAAAATTATGAGCAATCTCTAGCTAATATTGGCATATATTTTGGAGCCAAGAAACCAAGTGATTTTACTTTAGTCTGAAATTAGAATTTAGTGTTGGATTTGGAGACAAACGTTGAGTTTGACGTCTGAGTTTTAAGTCAGAGTTAAAGTTTTGTCCCATATTTTGGAATAGTACAACAACGAGTTAGTGAGTTGTGCAAAAGAGGTGTACAAAGAATTCATAAACTATTCTCTGCTTGTCTCTCACACTCCTCTTCTTCTGAATCATGAGAAGTCACAACTGAGCTGAATTGTTGTTGAGCATCATTAGTGCCATTAGGAGGCCATTACTGAAGCCAGAGGAATGTTCCAGACCACAGCAGGAGCCATGCATTCAGGTGAGCCCTCTTCCTGAACCTGACCTCAAAATTCTTGACAAAACCAGGCATATTAAACATATATAAAACACCATATTACTCCTTACAAAAGCATTGTCTGTTTTTATGGTTAAAATATGGAAAAAATATGCTTTTGTGGTATGTCAAATCTTTATAAGTAAAACAGTAAAACTAATTAGTTCTTGAAAAAGTAATAGTAAAATAGTAGTTTCTCAAAAATGACTCAAAAATACACTCATGTGCCTTAAAATACATATGCCCATTTTTGTGGTTAAAATTCAGAACTAATACACTTAGTTGGTACGCCAACTTTTGATCACAATAAAATACTGTACCGAAAGTTCCTGAAAAAGTTTTCAAAAATAAATGTTTCTTGGGAAAGTTTGGAAACACCATGAGCACACACACACACACACACACACACACACAACCTTGTTGTCCAGAACAGAGTGTTTACCCATTGCCAGACTCTGTCCATGAAAACAGAGAGGCCGACCAGGGCCAGGTCATCTCCCCAGAGTCAGTCTTGGCCTTTGTGAAAGAGCGGTCTTTACTTGACCAAAGAGGTGACATTCTCTAAGTGTTAAGATCACGTTACAGTGAAACATGGCTAAAAGGTCACCATTAAAGCTGAGTCACAGTCAGTTCTGCTTCTACACAGACACACAGAAAACCATTTGGTAACGAACGGTTACCAAAACTGAAAAAACAGAAAAAAAATAGAAAAGGTTAAATCCACAACAATAAGCAAATATATGCCTTCATTTACAACCCAGAGGTAGGTAGTGCTAAAAGTTTCAAAAAACATTTAATTGTGTAATATGTGCCACCAGGTGTATAAGAAGTTTAAATGATGGAGGTCAGAGTCAAATCTCAGTCTCAGCATTTCTACATACCTCTGTCACATGGGACGCTCAGATTAGAATTAAGGATTACAATGAATCATGGTTTCAGTTTAAAAAAAATGTGGTTAAAAAAAACAAACAACAGGTATACCAGGTGAAATTACTGTCAGTTCCAATAGACTGTTACCTACTTTGGTTAAGGACCAGTTCTAGCAGAATTAGCAGTAATGTCACCCAGTAAAAAAAAAGATATCTTATGAAGTATTTTTCTTAAAACTATATTTGGACTGAAGCAGAAAATGAACCACAACTTTCCTTTTTCTACATTCAAAACAAAAGCAAAAGACAAATGTTTCTAGCTCAACATGAGCCAGTTGGAATAGAGCAATGTTTTCTTCTACTAAAATTAAATCAACTACAACCTCTTGTGGTTTGGTACAGGATTCCACTTCCTGGTGGACAGTGTAATAACCACAAGGTCAAAAATGTGTTGAGTTTAGAAATGTGCTAGTAATCACTGTCGTTTCTCCTCAAATCCAAACTTTCTTCACGACTTCCTTGTGAAATAAATATTGAACTTTAGCAAAACTGAATCAAAATTTAAATCCGCCAAACTCGTTTTTTGTTTTTTTCACGTAAGGCTTTCTATTTCCTAACATTCCTAACATTCCTAACATTAAGACTAGTTAAATGTAAACACAGATTCAAACTAAATTTCCAGAATTGCCAAATTATAAATAAAATGAGGCAAAAAAGATGACTTTTGGTTTCTTTACTAGGGCTTAAGTGTAAGGGTAAAACCACAAAGAATGTTGAAGTAGAGTTTGAAACATTTTAAAGCCACCACAAAGACAATTACTGTATTTAGTCAAAATGACCCTGAGGTTCAGGGCAAGTCACTGGTTAAAAGTCACTAGTTAAAGGTTACTACAACACTAGTGAACAGAAAATAATGAGAAGAGAAAAAATAGGCCTATTTGAAAGAAAAATAATAATCGGTGAGTTGAACACCATTGGTTGACATTTAATGACTTCTACAACATGGGAATAAAATAATCAGAGTTTATTCTGGTGTCAAATTCTCAGTGTCCTCATCTTAGGTATTTGAAGCAAGATCTGCCTGTCTGGAGGTTATCAGTGGTCCAGCCCACTGTGTAGTCCTGATCACAGTCCACCACACACTGCTCTGAAGGAAAGTCCAGAGTCAGAACCACAAATGAGCCCAAACCAACAGAGTTCCTGGTCCAACTCCTCCACTCTTGCCTCATTTAAACTTAAGATAAACACCGTAGAGCAAACAGATGAGGAGATATAATCTATTACTGCTCAAGTGACTCAGAACATATTTCCCTCCTAAACATTCGTCGTTCTATTATGACCATTTTATTTCCACACCTTGATTTAATTATGCTAATCTTTTCTCCTCCATGAGTTACATTTTTGTTCTACTTCTGGGACAGTTTTTTTCCCTCTAACGTCTCCACATCCACTCATCACTACTAGTGGTGACTAAGATGATATGGGAACGTCAAGGTTTTTTATCTCGTGAAAGCCAAAGAGAAGCTGCCACACACATTCAAGACCACACGTGTGTGTGTGTGTGTGTACTCCGCTCTTCTGTTCAGCTCAGAAAGACTATCTGTCTTTTTGGAATCTGACTTTAGACACGAAATAAAAACACGTGGATAATTCACACATTAAACAGTCAAATCCTGGTTTTCACAGCCATCACTGTTGATTGTCGTGTTCTTCAATCTTAATGCTTTTGCCACCAGATGATCACAGACATCAGGTGCATTGTGGTGCAATAAAATAAGACATTATTTATCTGTGTTTGTCAAGTGACACACGACCTACAGTGAGATCACTGCTTTACACATACTTTAATTTGCTCAGAAGAACTCTCGAGCTTCCTTGCTAACGGCAGCACATTCTATAAATGTATTAAAAAATATGGAATAAGATGTGGAGACATTTCTGCAGAAGTTGAATTCAAATCAGACATACCTGCCTGGCGTCACCTCAACAACTCACTGACTCTACAGGGCTAACCTTTAGCAACATGGTTTAATAGAGTTCTGGCATTAGAACAGTAGACATTAGAGATTAGGTCACATCAATCCAGTTTGTCCTGAATGAACAGAGTTTGTGTGTAAGACTCTGAAGAGAGAGAGTGTCTCCGAGCTCTTAATCCACTCAAGTCATCAGACTGGTGCTGGAGCTGAGACCCCGCTGACAGCATTAACACTTGATCACGCGCACAACAACCAATCGGCCGCGTTACAGACAAGACTGCCCTGTATTTCTCTCAGAGAACTTTTACCTCCAGTCTGTGTCTTAACCGGCAACACATGCTCTTCACCGTACTCACGGACGATGACGTAATCTAAAACAACATGCCTTCCAATGGCCCTGCACATATGAGAGTGATTAGTAACACAAACTCAACCAAGGCCAAAAAGAGAGCGAGCATTTGTGCACATGTGAGTGTGTGTGTGAGAATGCTGCAGTTGCAGCTTTAGCTAGCTCAGAGCCTAAGTGCAACTCCAAAAGACGACAGAGGGAAATTCAAGATGGGGGCCCCTTTTTGTCGTCTGGTAAAGAAAAAGAGAAAGACAGAAAAAAATCTGTAAAGTCCAAGAGTCATATATCAATTTTTACACATGCCAAGCAAATTAAAATATAGAGCCTTGGTTTTGATATAACGCCCACAAGTCCAGCAAAAAAACACAAGTAGTTATTTGTTTCCAAGTGCCAAAACACATACAAGATTTACTCTCTGTGCCAAGACTTGACATGAAAACTGACCGTATAGGTGACATTCCTTCTTTCAGTCAAGGAGACTAAAAAACAAAACCGACATTATCTGACCTTAAGAACAAGTAGTACAGAGCTGTAGATCAGAGGTAGTCTGGGCCGTCAGAGCAGCTGAACGTTTTCACATCATCTCCAGCTACACCCTCAATAAAACAGTTGTGGTTTAAGACTAATGAGGGTCAATGGTTCGACTGTGGTTTAACTTTCTCCCTCTGTTTAATGAGCTACTTCTTGATCTTACTGCACTCCTAGTGTTGAATCTGAGGTATTTTCTCCGCAGACTTTTATGAGTTTAATTCACTCCTCAGATAAAGTGCTAAATCATGTCTTTGTCATGAACACAAAATCATCGCAACTTTGGAAATTCCCATTTGGTCATCAATAGAACAGGGCAGTAATGGTACTTTGTTGTTGGGTATAAGAAGTTACATCTGCAAAAGTTTATGATGGATCCCCCTCCCCCGTCCATTCAAAATCCTGTCTTACACGGACCTCTGACCAGACGACAGGGTGTTGTTTTGCTGGCAGCCAGCTGACGTTACAGTCCAGAGCAAACACCTTGCTTTACGCTGCAGTGTCACTTACAAACTATTTTAGACTTAGGGTCTACGTATGTAACCAACTGTGGCTGATTACTACAGACCTTTTTTAATGAAAAGAATGTAATTAATTAACCAATGAAACACGTTTTTTTTAAATGTGAGAATCAAACAGAGACAATAAAGAGAACTAAAGCAGAATAACGATATCAAGTGTGAAATGTGTGTGACCTGAAGGGACCCTGAGAAGAGAGCAGAACACCCAAAAGTCTGTTC